TCTTTTCTTGTTCATCTTCAATGTATTTCTAAGATGTCCATCACTGTGTTTGCTGTGAATTTTCATTTCTATATCATTTCAGATCTTTGGATTAACAGGCTTTGTTCTTTAGACATTTATGGTTTTTTGGACTTTGAGCTGTTAGTCCAGACTAAACACAAAGTTTAATTCCTTCTTCTGCATTTGTGTCTGCTAAAATTAATGAAAATCCACATGGCAAATTATGACAGAGATGTTGTCTGTGTGTCATTTCCACATAAATAAAGCTTTAACTATATTACAAACAGTTTTCTTTTTGTTATTTTCATTTGACTCACCATCCTACCAACCTGGAGCGTGAAGCAAATTACAGCATTAGCATAGAAACCATTTCCTGCATGCACTTTGCTTTTCCAGTCAGAAAAAAATTCAAATTTCTCTTACTGAAAAATTACTATAGTTTCCATATAAATGAAACTAATTCTTTCACTAACACCGGTGACACCTGGAATAAGACATTTTTATTTAATCTGAAAAAAGAGGCCCAGAAAATAAACTTGTTGGTAGCAATAAATAATTTTTATTATATATATTTTTAAGTTGTGCACAGATTACCAGGAGCACTTGTGGTTTAAATTCAAGATTCTTAGGCCAAATGTTTCCTGTATGAACCTGATATTGCAGAAAAGCGAGTAATAGACACACAGATCTGCAGTGTTCGTTTTACTCTTTGCCTCTACAAAGTGTGAAATGAACACACACGCAAAAGTTGCAGCACCAGCATGGGGAGATAATATATTTAAAGCCAGGAAGTTTGTGCATGTCCTGTCATTTAATCTTTACACTATCTTGACCTTTTTCTCGCCTGCATTTCTAAAATCCACTCACCATTGCGCAAACATTTAAAATATTTAAGCCACATTTAGATTCATGAGATAACATCATCTCTTAACCATGTTGTTTTCTGGGAAAACAATCATCTACGAAGATCACTGTGATGTCACCACACGTCATAAACTTAAAAACACGAGTAGGTGTTGTTGTGCAGGCAGAATAATTATCTTAAAAACAAGAACCACGCTGCCAAATAATCTTTCTTGTGAATATTTTGATGACTATTGTTCTTGACCTCTTGTTCAGATTAAGACGTGAGAAGATATTGTATGGCTCTCAATAAATAAATTAATTGATGTAAAATAAACATTTGTCTTCCTTCATCTACATTGAAAAAAGATTTTTTCTTTTTCCTAGTAACATGTCATGGGTGTAACAAAGGTAACACTAGTGCTTTAATAACAGGAATGACTTAGACTAGCTCAATGTGTCATGATCCTGGGTCATTTGAGTTTTCTGTTTTTTTTGTCATTTTGTATTATGTTTCGTGTTTAAGACCTCTTTGGAAGTCTTAAGTTGATTCTGTAGTGCCTAGGTTTTTTCTGTGTAGATTTTAATTGTTTTGTATTTCCACTTGTGGCTTGTTCCTCTCCTTGTGTTTCCCTCCTTCATGTGTATCTGTGTTTCCTCAGCC